TTTATGTGTATGTGTGTATTGCCTGCATGTAGGTAAGTGCACCCATGTTGTGCAATGCCCGCGGAGGACAGAAGAGGCTGTTGGATCCCCTTGAACTAGAGATACAGGCAGTTGTCAGCTGCCATGTGGGTGCTGGGATTCAAACCCAGGTCTTCTGCAAGAACAGCCAATGTTCTTAACCGCTGAGCCATCTCTCCAGCCCCCAGACTTGATCTCTTAACTCAGTGTCTGAGTCCTGAATGTCTGTTTATGATGAAATTTCTTGAAAACAGCCCAAAGCCTCTCTGCTTCTTGCCTCTGGAAGAAGCATACTCATGTCTTATGCCTAATTCCCCAGCTGGGAATTTAGTGAGAAATTTAAATTGTCAAGCAAATGCTGGAAGAAAATATTACTGGAAATACACACTGTGACGAGTCCTCTGTAAGCTACCAGCCTCCAACGGACTCTGCAATGCCACTGAAAGCTTTAACCAAGTTGAAAATGTTGTAGTAAAACTTCTCCCTGAAACATGCCCTTGATCCCAAGTTGATTGTGTAGGGAAAAGAAAAAAAATACTCACTTTTAGGTCATCTTTGATGGTGCATAAGAATTTTCATGGTGGTAAACTTGAGGAGAGGCATTTAAGATATTCCAACCATGCCCTAAGGCCCACAGGGATGACCACTTCTCTAGGGTCATCCATTTAGAATTCAGACAGAGTTCCTTAGTGTTTTCATTTTGGTCACTTTCTTTCTTGCTACTTGAACGCTAATAGACATTTATCTACAGTGTGCAGATCCAGCTAAATATTGCAAACTGAACCACCTTTTCCTTAATGGTTAGAAATTGGCAACCAGAGCAACAGACATGTCAAGAACGTTGACTCCATATACTACTTTGAGCTGAGGGAGAGATATGATAAAAAGGATCAGTTACAGCAAGTCCTCAAAGTGAAACTTCCTGAAAAGAGTAGCGGAGAGGTCCAGGACTGGCTGGGCAAGTGTGGTCCACTCAAATGTTTATGTTTGGCTGTAGCTTGCAAAAGCAAAGGTTGACACAGTTCTCCTTCCAGTCTGTGCAAGAGTTGGCAAACAGCAGGAATGACATTTGCTTCTAATCACCCATCCATCTTAATGCTGAAAAGATACAGGGCTGAGAATTACACAATCACCAGGATTTCATGACCCAGAATCTTTGCCAAGTTGAAAGAGATCCTCAAATCTGGGGAGAGTTACAGTTTTATGTTTTTGATCATGATCTTCTTGGAAGATACTTATTAGGGCCATTTGTTGACAACATTAAGAATTAACAAATTATGTTGTTAAAGCATAACAAAAGTTTAATGGTCTCATTAGAGAACTATAAAGTCTGTTACTTAAGAGAGAAGTATTGTGGTGTTGGAAAGCATGAAATATTTACAAAAAGCTCTTTAGGCTCTAATTTCTAGAATGGAGGCAAAGCTCAGCTATTGTAGTCAAAAGAATTAAAATAAAATGGTAACAGAGAGGAGCAAAATCCTTTTACATTGTATGACAGCATAGTCCCCCACCTTATACTGGGAACATAAACATGTTGAGCTGTTTGTTTTTAAGCAAAAAAGGAGCATAGAGGAAAGAAGTTCTACTTTCTTTTTAATGTAGAAAAGAGACCATACTTCTTAGTTTGTTTGGAGCCTGGTGTGGGAAAAACAGTGACTGTGAGGAGTGCCCACCTGCTCCTGCCTGCTTCTCCCCAGAGAGGAGGAACTTCCGGGTCACACCCAGATCCCCAAAGACCCTCTTTTTCAAACAGAATTCTCTGCAAGGCTGTGCCTGTGGGATTCTGAAAACAAGAGATAAATCAGTGAAACAGTCACTGGTGGCTGGGGCATGCATAATTTAGTAAAGTGTCCGTCTAAGATGCCAGCCTCCAAGTCATCCCTCCCAAGGTGTAAATCAGGCCACCTTTTGAAAAGGACAGTTCTGGGAGTGGAGCATAGAATATGCTGTTTTGTAATGAAAGAAACCCTTTGCTAGTGGGGAAACCCATGGCCAATGGCATAAAAGTGAATGGAGACAAGTTCATGAAGATTTTAGCTAAATTTTTTTGATAATTGTGATCTGAGGGGGGCAAAAAATTGACCTGGAAGTTTCAACCTCTGGTTTCCAGACCACTCAAAGTGCAATATTTAAAGGCAGCCTATGGGTCATTGTTTTCTTGTGTATAAAGTAAGTGTTCTTTGCTTAGCTCAAAGACGTGTGTGTCTATCCAATGGTACATGATTTTATATCGTATGTTGAGTGTGAATACACATTCCCAGAGGCAGAAACATGTAATTTGTGCAATTGCAAAGTAGAATGTAGAATTGGAGGGCACAGCTGATTCTCATGAATGCTCATAACTCAACAGGGCCATCCTTAGAGAGCTTTGGGGAGCCTCTAGGAGAATCTTTCTTTGCTGGTAGGGTGGGAGCTTGGCTTTGTGTGTGTGTGTGTGTGTGTGTGTGTGTGTGTGTGTGTGTGTGTGTGTGTGTGTGTGTGTGTGTGTGTGTGTGTGTGTGTGTGTGTGTGTGTGTGTGTGTGTGTGTGTGTTGGGGTGTGTGTGGCAAGAATCTGACTCAGTTCTAGAAGGGGCTTCAGGCTTTTTATCCAGAAGCTGAGGGGTTTGGAGTGAGTCATTCCACAGTGGTGGAAGTTCTCCCCTGCCCTGGCTCAGTCAAGCAGCAGAGGCTCGCTCACATATATAGTGTGTTGCCCTTGGTCTTTCTATTGGGCAAGTGCACCACTAGTGCCAGCCTCCTGGCTCAACAGAGCTGTGCTGTGCAAAGGCAAGGAGTCTTAAGACTGAAGGGATGGACCTGAAGGATGTGCCACAGTCCAGAGACTTCCCAGCCTCCAGAGGCAGCTGACTTGGTCCCTGCCCGCTGAGAAGGAAGAGGGCAGGCTTGGATCCTTTCTCACCACCTTCACCCAGATTGACCTGTCTTGGTCTTGAGTTTTCTGGGTGTTTGGGATAGGTTGACTGTAGCAATAGGAAACAAAAGGGGTCTTTGAAAACTCACCTGAGTCTTCCCTCACCATCAGCCCTGGGTCTAGGCAAGCTTGACAGGTGTTAAAAGGTGTTTCCCACACCAACCCTGCAGTCCCATGCAGGGTTGTGCCAGGGCTGGCTCTGGCAGCATGGCGTTTGCACGGGTTGCAGTGACCCCAGCAGCCAGGAGGGGAACTGGGAGGTAGGCGGTGGGAGGCAGCTGTAGAAGGGGACCAACAGGGACCTGGAGGTTGGGGTGGAGTGGGCTCAGTTCTTAGCGGAGGCGACCCTGGGGCGCTCCCAGTTCCTTGGGTCCTGAAGCTCCAAAACCTGGGTGCTCTTGGTGAGGAGCCAGTGAGGATTCCAATTTAGGGTTGCTTGCTGGAAGACACCGCGCAGGGTCCTACACACAGCTCTGCAGAAAGCCTGCATCTCCCTTGTGAGGTGCGAGGCCTGCGGAGCTCGGTGTTGCCTGAACTGAAAGCTTAGCTCTTGAAAAAAACCAAAACTGCTCTGTCTGTCGCCCTGGCAGCAACATTACAGAGACACCCACATTCCCTGGGGCCTTTCCACCAAAACTCTCTGTCCTTTGGTTCGTGGCAGAGGAGTACAGAACTGACCACGAAAGGTCCAACAGGAACAAGAAACTCCTAGGACTTGGACAATTCCTTTGAAAATCCCCCAATCCCCGGGAACAAAGGCCCAGGAGGCATAGTTGACTCCAGGCTTATTTGGAAGGAAGATTTCTTTTGGAAGGAAGGTGAAAATCATCATAATTTAAACAAGCAAACAAACAAAATCACCTTTCTACTCTTTTAAATTGGTTTCTGTATTCTTTGACATGAATACATTCACATCGATTTTAGTGAATGGCAAAAGATTTATACCATCTGAAGAAAACAGCATGTATCAACGTGGATGTGAAAATAGCCGCAGGTAACTGCAGAGAAAGAAGTTGGAAATCAGAGGTGACAGGGTAACACCCTCCTGCTTTCAAAAGCCTTGGAGGGCTCTCCTGGGAGCAAACAGCTCGAGTTTAATTCCCACACATGGAACCTGTCCCCCATTTTCCCTAGTTGCTGGTCTCCTTCAGCTTTATTCTCCAGTCTAATCATCAGCTTTATGGGTGCAAATGTCTACCTTTTACAATAATCTAACCTTGATAGTATCACTATAATTATTTCATAGGCATAACCCTAGTCAATAAAGGCTTGTTACTTGTTAGCTGCACTTAATCATGAGTTTTCTTCTCCTATACCTGTCCCAAGAGGACTGTCCTCCAACAGGCTCCCTTCACCTTATAATACACAGATCCCAAATGACCTTCCAGGCTTGGATAAGATAGGCTCTATCCAAGAATGGCCAGGATGGTAAGGAGGCCCAAGTTTCTTGCCTCTGACTTTTTCACCACTTGCATGAATTTTCTGAATTTTACAAAGTATAAATTCTTAGAGGCCCATTGCTTTTGAACTTACTGAGAAACCAGTGTCCATATTTATAGAGCATGTCTTAATTGATGGTAAGGGTGAAGAGATATCAAGGTTCACCTCCAAGCAGGTGTTTTGGTTCTTTAGAAGGTAGATAATTTTGTTTTGATAAAAACATCAACAGTCAAGGTGCTCTGACACTGCCTGAAGGCACCCTTGGTGTGCTAGGTTAGTTTTAAGCCAAGATCAAGTTCCAGATCCTTGAACTCAAATCAGAGTCAATTGACTTGAAAATGTCTACCTGACTATAAGCTTGTTACAGCTCAACTGGACTGCTAAGGATTCTTGGGGGAGAGAGAGACACAGACATGCTATGCTAACTTCTAAACGAGTCTTGCAAAGTTTCAAGTTTAAGAAATCTTAACTGAAGGCCCATTCTGGATATTTGCACAGTAATGTCTGAAACTGAAATCACACATATTTTGACCACAGTATGAAGTTTTTGGAGACTCAACCATGAACCCATTTTGAGGAGCTGGTGGTAAAAATCTCTACTTCCTGTCTGTCACCAGAAGGCAAGCAAGTCAATTGTGAATTTTATTAAAAAACAAACAGTATGCCTGGGTTTCATAAAATTTATATACAAATATGTACACAGAAACAAATAATATTAAAAATAAAAATCATACTTGCTCTCATGTGGAGGTGGTCCTGGCACCCCACAAACATAATGTTAACCTTTCCTTTAAAGAAATTGCTTGGCCCAAGAAGACCACAGTTGGAGAACCATTAACAAAGCTGTAGCCGTTGCCTGCAACATTTCAATTCAGGTCTCAAAAAATATATAAATAATTTAATTACAAAACCCAATAGTATTTTCCCCCTTTTTTGGCACAGTGAAGCATTGGTCTATAGCAGAGAAATGATGGAAGGTTGACAGCTCTCTCACACTCACTCTTGTGAACACCACACACGTACACCAGTGGGGCCTCACAAACCCCAGACAGTAGTAAATCATTTATCCCATGGAATGGTTCCCTGATGTGTTTTTTTTTTTTCTTTTTTTTTCTTTTTGCAGGTGGGGAAGATAAATCAATGGAAGGTGCAACAAAAAGAGTAGGACTGGAAGAGGTCTGGGTAGAGGAAAAGGGAAAGCCTTTTGGAAGGAGAGGACAGGCTTGGCCAAGAAATAGAAAAAAAAAAAACCTGCTTTGATCCTCTGTAAAGTTACAAAAGACAAAGGAAACTATTCTGGACTAAAAGCACTTGGATCAAAATGCTTCACTTTAAGGCACGTCGGATAGAGATTTTTTAAAAAAAGTTTCTTTTCCTCCGAATAGAAAGTGCACAGTCCTGGAGATTGCTTTCCCCTTCTCCTGAATAGCGCTCCCAACCCCCAGTCCCACGACGACCCTCTGCGGAGCTCAGCATCAGGCCAAAAGCGTCTCCACTGGGTAGGACAGGTGCCGGCCGGACCCGCAGGCCGAAGCCGCTTGCAGGGCCGCGGGCAGCCGTAGGGGGCAGTACAGGTGCGCCGAGCCGCCGGCCTCGGGACCTGGGAATGGCTTGGCCGGGGCGGCGGTGGAGAAGGGCCCGAGCAGCAGGGGTGGTGCGGGCGGCGCTGCTGGCTGCACCTCGGTCCCCCGCGCGGCCACCAGCGTGGGTTCGCTGGCGCCGAACGCACAGAGCGGCAGGAGGGCGCCGCCAGGCGCGGCGGGCAGGAGCGCAGGGTAGGCGCGCAGGGGCGGGCAGGGCGCGGCGCCCCAAGGCAGCTGCACCCCTAGGGCCGGGTCGCTGTCGCGGCGGCTGCGGAAAGGCTTGCTGAGGATGCTGTCGATGGCGAAGGAGCTGGAGAACTTGCTTGCCGGGCTGGCCCGCTCCTCCTGGCGAGGGGGCGAACGCGCGAGCGGAGAGGCCGGAGTGGCGGGTGCAGGCTGCGGGGGCGCGGCGGGCAGAGCCGGCGCCTCCTCGGGTCGCAGTCCCGGCGCAGGGACCGTCGCCCGGTGGCTGAGGCGCTTGCGGCGGCGGCGGAAGACCCCGTCGGCGAAGGTGTACTCGCTGTTGGGGTTGAGCATCCAGTAGTTGTCCTTGCCCCAGGGCCGCGAGGGGTCGCGCAGCACCTTGACGAAGCAGTCGTTGAGCGAGAGGTTGTGGCGCACCGAGTTGCGCCAGCCGGTGTAGCTGCCGCGGAAAAACGGGAACTTGCCCATGAGGTACTCGTTGATCTCAGCCAGCGTCAGACGCCCGCCCGCTGAGTCGCGGATGGCCATGGCGATGAGCGCGATGTAGGAGTACGGAGGCTTGGGCCGCCGCGTGTACGGCTTGTTGCGCGCACCCTCGCTTCCCACGCTGCCGGCGCACGGCCTGGGCGCTGTGGCCTCCGCTGTGCCATCTGCCGCCTCCGGACCTTCCAGTGCGTTCTGCCCGCCGCCCGCGCTCGGGTCGCCACTGCCGCCCGCCAGATCCCCAGCGCCGCCGCCACCGCCACCCGCTGCCGGGCTGTTGGCCGCGCAATCCCCGTCGGAGCCTAGGGAGTCGTCTCCAGTGGCGGAGAGCGGAGATGGCGCGTCGCTGCCGCCGGCCCCCTCTAAGTCACTGCCCGGCTTGTCCCCGTGGGCCGCGCGCGGAGTGAACACCTCCAGTTTCATGCCCGCGCTCGCGATCCCCACCCGGTGCTGGACCCTTTAACTGCGTGGTCGTAAGAAGCGAGTGGCGCGGGCCGGGGAGCGATCTCGAGGACCGGAGGATTCCGAGCTAAGGTTCCTTCGTCTTTCTGAGAGAGGCACTTATCCGTAGAAGAGTCCTCTTCCGCTGGAATGCGTTTTTGGAGGGGATGTGTGTTGGGTGGACTGAGGGGAGAAGCCGAAGTTGGGACAGTGCTGTCTTTAGTCCGAGCGTTACGGATTTGGGGCTGACTGCGTGCGCGGGATGCGGCCCCCGCCCCTGCGGTGCCGGTGCCGAGCGCCCCAGACTTAGGGTTTGGTGCTGGGAGGAAGAATCCTGCGCATCTGCTATCCGTACAGGAGCCCAGAAGGGGCTGGCGCTTCTCCGGAGGTCCAGGTCCCAGGCAGGTGTCCTCAGAGCACCGCGTTGATGCCCGCTGGGATACGCTTCTCTTGGAGGAAGATCGGACGCCTTTAACCTTGAGAGCCCATGGAACCGAGTCCTTGAGGCCGCCGCGCCCGCAGCCGCCTTCCCGTCCCCGGACTCCCAGGCAGCATGTCCGCGCTGGCCGGCCGCAGCAGAATCTCGCCTCCACCTTCGGCCGGGACCAATATAACCCTGCGGCGGCTCGGCGGAGGCGGGGCCTGGGCGCCCACGGTCAGGGGGTGGGGAACGAGGTGGCCAAGGTGGCCGCTGCTCCCCCGGGCGCAGCAGGCCGAGGCCACGCGGCGGCGCGGCCACAGAGTCTCTGGGCGCAGGTTGTTTGTTTTGGGTCTGGCTGGCCCCGCCCTCCTCGTCCAGCCAATGGGGAACGAGCGAGCGGCTGGGGTGTGCGTGCGTGTGCGGCCACCCCTCCAGCCCGCCCCTTGGCTCAGGTGCGAGCTCCTGCGCCCCGCGGCCATCGAGGGGGTTTCTGTGCCCTAGGGTTCCTGGTTAGTGTGCTTGGTAGAGGTGACATCCTGTGATTCCTCAAGGGGACACCTAAAAGGGTCGGGCGCGGGACCCGGATTTTGCATAGGTTGGCCGCCTCCCGGAGCGGCGCTCCGAGTGCGTTTGCTTGTGCGTTAGTGAGAGCCAAGAGTCTTCGGAGTGCAAGTCTTCGGAAAGCAAACCCCTCTGGTGATGGCTGAGGGGCTGAACTGCAGACACCTCACGGCACACCCTTTGCCTTGACGTCTTTTGACAGCTACGTGCGGTGTGCTTGCTCCGCTGCCTTTCTATGACTACCTTTTCCCAGTCTAACAAGTAAAAATGCCGGGCTGTGAGCCGTTTTGGGTGATCTAACCAGCCTCCGACTTTCACTTTTCTTTTGTCTTACCTGTCTGGAGGCTCTGGGGACTGTAGCAACGTCCCAGTTTTAGGTGAGGCGACAAATGCTGGGAGAGGGGGCCCGCCAAGCCTCGCTATTCGCTATTCCGGCAGAGCTCACAGCGGCGCGCGATTCCCTAGTACCCACAGTCAACTGGAACGTCAGGAGGGTGTGTTCCCTGGGCCCTAGGCAAGAGCGAGGCATGCTTACCGCCATTTCTCTCTAACCCTCTTCCCTTAGGATTTGCTGTGACTTCAGTGGCACCGGTGTCTGACAGGAAAAGAGACCGGTTCTCTGCCTCGGACTCTCGGGACTGACGCCTACACAGTGTCAATACTCCAGGGAAAAGTTGCTCTGGCCCAGGGGAAGGGTGCACTTCTGACCCGATGCCTACCACACCGGAGTTTCCTCCTTTTTCCTGCCTTTGTTGCAAATAGCGACTACGTGAGAGCGCATCTTTGAAGTTTCTTTTATTACTTTCCACCATTTGTGTGGAAAGCGTACACAAGGTTCCCTTGACTTTAGTCAAGAAGTTGTAAAGGGGGTCAGAAAGCAGTGGGTACCGTGACAGGCAGGGCAGGAGTCAGATATTTTGGGTTTCGAGGAATGGTGGGGTTTAGAGATTACACTGCTGTTTTCCACGGTGCAGTTACAGCAGGGTGGGGAATGGCTTTTTTTTTTTTTTTCCTGGAAAAGAGCCAGTCTACCTCTAGAGTGACTACCCCTCCATTCTCCTTAGCTCTAGTCCCGGGACTGGATAGTTCCAGGGTCTTGGCCAGGGAAGTAAGTTGGGACAAGAAATTAGCTACAAAAAGAGGCATTGATTTGGCTAGGGATAAAAGACATTCTTAATGAAGGTTGTCCTCATTCGAACTCCGAGGATGGGCAGGGCAGAACAGGAGGACACATGCCTGGTTTATGGAGGAGATAAGTCCAGGAGGGGTGAGCCTCAGAAAGGTCATTGGGAGACTGCAGGCCTGGGAGCCCTGGTGGCTGCCAGGGAGCCCACAACATTTCCAGTCCTGCATTCCGTTTCCCCTTTTCCCATCAACTCCCCCGCCCCCACCTCCTCCCCTCTCTCTGGCCCCCATCAGCAACTAAACCTCTCTTTACTCTGATCTTGGGTAGCCTAAGGGCACTTGATCTGGGGTATCACAATACTCTTTACTCCTATCAAGTTGACTGCTGTGACAGGTTTGGAACCTGTTAAGATTTGGGAGCAAAGGAGCTGGGTGGAGATGGAGAATTCTCAGCGGGGGAAGCTTTTCTACTAGGCAAGTTCTTTAGAAAGAGGACTGGCTAGGCCAGGAGCCACCTACAAGGACTTTGGAAAGCAAGACCCTCAGCGGGAGAATGGCAGGAGGCAGTCATCTGGATTTCAGTTGAAATCAGAAATAAAACTGCTCTTACCTGTTGCAGCCGATTTTGGTATTATTACTTTTTTGCTGTTATTTCACACCTGGAAAATCATTCAGCTTTCGCAGACGTTAAGAGAAAACAGAAATGAAGAAGAGCATCCATTCTCTGCATCTCTGACCACACATTCTCAAGGCTGGGGACAGTTTAGAAGTGCAGACACTCACACACACACACACACACACACACACACACACACTCATACACACCATTCAGTTTCTTAATGTTTCCTCAAAATATTTGGAGATTTCTCCTCTCTGATTTTGACTTTTGGGAATAAGTACTTGTAAATGGAACTTCAACAAAACAGTTGTGGATGAGAAAGTCCCATTATTTCATTTCTCTTCTTGCCCTTTAAATTTCCATGGAGGTAAGTGGCTAAGCTATACAGAGCTATGTTCACATTTTCATGATCTTGTGTCCTCCCTACAGTGGTTTTAGGATGAGAAAAATGAAGCATCTATCTCTAGACACCCAAACTAACTTAACTGAGGAAACTATGTTGTTTTCATAATGTGATGTAGCTTCCCCACCCAGTTCCAAAACACTAATCTGGAAAGGAAAGAATTTAATTCCAAAAATACCTCAGGTGACTTGGTGGAGTGGGAGTAAGCTCCCAGTGGAAATGTTGATGACTTATTCTATGTATTAGGACAACAGGCAACTTTATAGCACAAAGACCACAAAGCCATCCAGATTACAGCATTAGCACAGTGTCATGGAAACTGCCTGCTTTCTTTCCTTGCTAACCTTTGTCAATAGTCATATTGTAGATGTTTGGATCTGAAGGGAAGGCAAACTTAAAACAGCCTTCTGGTGGAGACCTGGGACTCTGGATAGTGTATAGTTTAATGTGGTTAAGAAGGGAGAGGCTTAAAGCTCCAGGTGTAATAAAAGGGCTAAGGCTGGGCAAAATGTAAGGCTTTGCACCTGTGCCCAGGGTCTCTTGAGGTTCAGAGAGGGCCTGGCTTAGAGACCTAGCATTAGGTAGCAGCAAAGTGCTCTGTAAAGATGAAGCCCAACTTTCACGTTCCCTACATCTTAATGAAAACACCAAAGAAGGAAAGCAGTACCTGGTTCTCTGTTCTAACCCATATCTTTCTTGTCTGGGGGATGGTTTCTTTAGTGTAGATGCTGAAGACTTTGGAAGAATGTCGTAGAGCCTGAGTTGGGCCTGACAATAGCAGATAAAGCCTAGATAGATTTACATATCATTCTTCCCACTTCTTTTCAAAGGCATTTTAATAGGATCAGGCACATTTGTTTGCCTTGTCTTGTTTGAGCAGTCTCCTTTCTGACTTCTGGGTGGGGCCATGGTTGAATCAAAGGATTCTGAGATCTGGCTAAGGTGATTGACTAGATGCAAACTTCAGTTTGTGCTTCATGCATGGTGACCACAAGCAGGAGAAGGCCTCTTGGGGACCCATGGAACCAGAAGAATTATTGGGTTAAGTGAACCAGATTTCCAGGTGTTGGGTGTTGGGGAATGCACAGTGGTAGGGAGACTGGCCCAATAATGGTGGAGAAAAGAGAAAACAGCTCAGGAAAAAGGGGAGAAGATGTGAAGACAGAAAATAGATTAGGGTATGACAGGGATTAGCGATGACTGTGAAAATGAACCGACTCTGTAGTCTAGAGACAAAGTCCTAACCACTGTAGCATGGTGTGTGCACTGGTTAGTTTTTGTCAGCTTGAAACAAGCTAGAGTCACCTGGAAAGAGGGAACCTCAGTTGAGGAATTTTCTCCATTAGACTGGCCTGTGGGCATGTCTGTGGGATATTTTCTTGATTGCTAATTGATACAGGAAAGTGAAACCCACTGTGGATGGTGCCATCCCTGGGCAGCTGGACATGGGCTGTGTAAGAATAGTAGCTGAGCAAGCCAGTAAGCAGCATTCCTTCATGGTTTCTGCTTCAGCTCCTGCCTCTAGGCTCCTGCTTTGAGTTCTAGCCCTGACTTCCTTTAGTGTTGAATTGTGATCTAGGAATTGTAAGATGAAATAAACCCTTTCCTCCTGGTTTTGGCCAGTGTCTTATCACAGCAATAGAAAGCTAACTAGGACAGCATGGGAAGGTATTATCAAGGCATGAAAGAAAGTCCTGGGCTGATTTACTGCAATAAGATAATGCCTTCGATGCTGGGAACTTGAATCCATCCTTCAAACATGACCAGATCTGAGGGATTCTCATTGCCCAGTTTTAGTTCAGTTTCTCTATTACCTGACATTCTTTAAACTTTGAAATTTTAAAGCACAAGATATATTTTATTTATCTTTATAGTGTGTTAACCCTGATCTCTTTTTTAACTTAGAGGTTGCTACTTTTCTAGAATTAATTAAAAAAAAAAACAGATACCTTTCTTGATGCTTCTTATGAGAAGAGAAATGACTCCTGCCTTCTGGAAGAGCTCTATCATCATGATGTCATTGGTTATGAAGATGGCTTAGTCAGTAAAATGCAAGTATGAGGATCTGAGTTCAATCTCCAGAAACCACGTGAAGAGAAAGCTAGGTCTGGTGGCAAATACT